AAAATCACAAAAATTTTTTAATAAATAGTTTTATTTTAATTGTTGAGAATTGTAAAATTTTGGGTGTTGATTGATGTGGGTTGTTGTTTTTTGCATCTTTATAAATGATTAAAGCATTGTGGTTTATAACACTAATAAGTAAAAATACTGTAACCTAATTTACACAGCAACCACAACTTTTGTAATGAATTTAGTTAAATAAACTAAAAAAATGTTAATTATAAACGAATTTTAGGCACATCAATGTGTTTTGCATGTTTGTTTTTTTGCCATTCCTTGGTAGGCTTCTCAATCAGCCTAGTCCGTCCATATTGTGTGTTGTTGATGTTTTGCGTCAATAATAGAATTTGTACGGGGTGTCGAGTTTCTGCTTTGATCCTTTCCTTTGTTATATAATGAGCATGATAAATGTGGGCAGTACAGGTGGTTGATCTATTGTTGCAATTGGTTTAGGGCAGCAAGTCACATTAACTACATCTTAATGCCTTTTCGCGCTAATTTAAAGTTAGTATTTAACAAATACTATGAAAAGGAGAAGGTTGGAACATTTTATTAAATTCTATTAAATAATATAAGTATAAGGGAATTAAAACGTAAATACTTCACACTAAATATTTACGTGTTATAAATATCACTATAGGCATACAACCTACGCACATTTCATTATATTTAATTAATTGAAGTTGATTTGCACTTTCTGAATATTTCATACATAAAAGTATTAACACATTCCATGCAAATATATATTTGTGACTTTTTTTCCTGTGACTTTTTTCCTACAATCAGAGCAATTACCCCCCCCCCCCAGCCCTCCCCCGGTCATAACTTAAGGTACAGTTAGGGTTAAGACTTGAATTAAGGTTAGCGCTAGGGTTAGGTTGAGGGCTAGGTTAGAGTTAAAATAATGTCTAGTGTTGGATTTGGGTTTATTTTTTGCCTGAGGTAAAAGCTTAGGTTTAGGCTTTTGTTTAAGGCTAGGATTAAGGTAAGATATAGGTCTAGAGTTGGGGGTTAGCTTTAGTATAGGGTTTGAGTGTGGGGTTAGTTTTAGGTTTAGGATTCTTCAGTTTGTGGGAGGGGGATAATTGACATGGGGTGATTGCTCCAGGGAGGGGGGGTAATGGCCTAGACCCAAAGATCTCATATTACATATTACTACATTAGTTCATGTTGTACAGATGCATTAATACTAATAGTTTCGCTGTCTGTCTATGTATCTATCTGACAAGAACGCTCTAGAGAAAACACAAGCAAAATAAAAACATGCACAGTAATTCGAAAAACGAAGTATGACGCGGTCACATTTAGCATAGAGTAGAAAATAACCTCAAACCGGAGAGTGCACACATTAATATGACGTCATTGATTCTCGCGTAAACATTGAAAAAAAAGGAAATTGTGTCTAATCTAAATGGTTTGCGTTAAGAGTTTCTTGCATACAATTCTTCGGGTAGGGGCGAGGCCCCACCCCCCCGCGTAAGAACGTCTGAGCCCCCCCCCCCCCCCTCCCCAACTCAAAAGAAATTTCTTCATCGATACTCTATAATAAAATTACCGCCTAATTAATGTGTCTAATCTAAAAAGTGGTTTTCTTGCAATTTCTTTAATGCAATTCTTCGGGTAGTGGCTAAGCGCGACACCAGTGTTTCTTTCAGACTTTTTCCTCCCCGGAGAGGGGTGGGGGTACTTGAAATTTTCGGGGGCGGGTGTAGAATTTTCGGGGAGGGGGCGGACACTGGAAAAAGAATATAATTATATTTCGTTGAATGGGACGGTAGACATGTTTTTTTAGAGGGGGTGGGTGGGGGGTGGGGGGGGGGGTGGTGTGTGTGTGGGGGTGGGGGGTGGGGGGGGTGGTTTTAATTTAGACTTTTTCCTCCCCGGAGAGGGATGGGGGTACTTGAAATTTTCGGGGGCGGGTGTAGAATTTTCTGGGAGGGGGCGGACACTGGAAAAAGTATATAATTATATTTCGTTGAATGGGACGGTAGACATGTTTTTTTTTTTTGGGGGGGGGGGGGTGGTGTGTGGGGGGGTGGGTTGGTTTTAGTTTAGAGAAAAGAGAAAACACTATCAGCCTAGCGCTCGTTGTACCCTTCCTCAACGGGCCATTTTTCTCGTATAATATTAAAAGTAGAGTCTTCTATATTTTTCCAATTTTATTATCATTATTGTCATGCGTGTTTTGAAGGTCTGTTTTAGTTTATATTCTATACGACCTCATAACCACTGTATGGTCAAAAGAATATAATTCCTGAAAGCTTTGTATAAGTAATGGTGTCTCGTGTAATGTTTATTTTTTTTATTTATATTATTAATTTTAAATACATTTCTTTTTTATACAATGTCATTCTTTAGTAAATAATTTATCAAAAAATAATAATTAAGAGAATTATTTGCTTTTAATTTGTTTAGTAAAAATCTATTAAAAGGATCTTATAAGCACCCTTATTTGACTATTTATAAAAGGGAAATAAGTCATGGAAGTGGTTTGAAGGTGTGCTTATCTTTGATAAATTTGATTGTAGGAGAAAGAGGACTTGGCTTTCACAGTGGTTTAGAAACAAAGGGAAAAAGAATATACAAGAGCTTGGGTTGGTGTCTACAGAATAAAGATAATCCAACCGCAGCTACGGTAATCTTTTTACAAAACAACCATCAAGTCAAAATGCAAGAAAATTATTTTTTTTAACTAAAAAAAATCATTATGGTCGGCTGTGGGCCCCTAAATGTGCCCCCCCCCCTCACCCCCCCAGCATTGCCGGGTCTGGCGGCACTGTAGTTCCGCCCATGGAACAACCCCATATCAATGATTTGGGGCAGTTCTGATTACTACCTGACGATGGCTTCAAAAATCTTTGGTTTTATTCCTTTACAACTTAATGAAAACAAAACACTCCCATACCTTGGTAATTCGCTTTTAGCGCTTATGCTGTGAGATAATATAAGCAAACAAACCCCGAACTGTGAACTGAACGGCCTACAGTTTTGTAACTTTTACATAAATCCTCCTAAAATGTGAAATAATTCGATCTAGAAAAATTTAAGAAGTCACCTCTCTTTTACATTACTAGCCTCAGACGAATGTACGTACCTTAAAAATATATATTACATGCCTAATTATTACTAATTAATAATTAGGCCTAATTATTAAATAATATTAGTAGGCTAATAAGGTCTAATTAAATTAATAATTAGGGCCTATTATTATAATTTATAGTTAATAGACTTTTATAGGATTATAAGTACTATTTTAACTAGGCCTATTTTATTAATTTTTGTTACTATTATTATTATTAGTATTAAAATTAAATTATTGCAATTATGTCAAATAGGCTACTAATAGGTACTCCAAACTGCTGAAAATCGAGGTTTCTGCTCATTTTCATTACTTTTTCCACTACTTTCCACTACAAAGTTCTCCTATTAAAATTAAGAGTATAATAATAATAAACAGGTAGTGATCTCCTCTAAACTTTCTTGAATATTCTTATATAACACTACGGGAGATGGCAACTCAGGATCTAGACAACATTTTGAATCCATTTTTAATTATTTAAACTTTTTATAATAGAATAGAATCTAGTTGAAAAAAGAATTGCGCACCAACTGAATGCGTAACAAAATGTGCATAATAGTGCAGGATATTACTAGTACTTTATAAATTCACATGCATTTTTTTGAGAAATTGGAAATAGCGTAAATTACTACTTCCGGTCGACGGAAATTACTCAAAATTTGAGAGAAGGCAGAGAATTAGATCTTTTACTTACATGTGAAATTTCATTTATCTATCTGAAATAGTACTCAAGTAATAGGCTTTTGAAAAATTGAAAGTAGAAAAAGGTCCACTTCCGGTTATCGGAAATCGCTGAAAAGTTAATTTGGATCTACAAATTCGATATAATACTTATATATGAAATTTCATCAATCTAGCTGTAACGGTACTCAAGTTATCGTGTTTACAGACACACATACGTACACACACACATACACAGACATACGGACAAGATTGCAAAATTATGTTTTTCCGACTCAGTGAGCCCTAAAACTTGGAGATTTGCAAAAATCTCGATTTTTTTTTTTTTTGCACGATTACAATACTTTCTTTATACCCTGTAGGCCTATATACGAGAAAGTAAAAATGGTATGATCAAAAGCTTAACAATAATATGTTGTTTGTTTTTATATTGGTAGAGGAAGAACATATGTTTTTGTAGCTCGAAAAACATCATCTCATCGATCTTTAGCTGAAAAACATCAGACCAGTTTTTACCCCTACCCCATTCGGATGCTTAGCGCTTCGCACCATGTAGTGTATGAAGTCTAAACTTAGCTTAACTTACGCAGGATTGAATGACCTTTAATTTAGAAATAAAATGTTTATGAATTATTTTAGTAACAGCGACTTAATTCTCAAATTTTCTCCGACAAATTGATATTTCAAAATCCACTCAAAATACAAATTTCCTACTAGTACTAGCATGGTTTGAAAGATCGTCCATTTTTCTATTTAAATGTGAAAATATCTTAATAATATCAAACATGGCATGAATGGCAAAGCAAAATAACAAAACCATGTGTATCTCTCATTCGCCAACACAATCACAAAATTGAAAATATAAGCCTGGTGCGGTCGAGACCCCCTGAAGTGTTTGAATATATATCTACTAGCTGCATACCCGTGCTCCGCAGCAGGAAAACTTTTTTAAATGTACCAACTTGGGGAATAAAACTAAACACAACCAAACACAACACAAGCACAACACAATACGACACAAACTTAAAAACAACACAAACACAAAAGAAAACACAAGCACAAACACAAAAGCTGCATACTCGTGCTCCGCCACGGAACATCTTTTTTAAATGTACCAACTTGGGAACAGAACAAAACTAAACACAACACAATCACAACACAACCATGACACAAACACAACACAACAAAAACACAACAAAAACACAACAAAAACACAACACAAACACAAAAGAAAACATACCGCTGGCGGACGCACCTGATTCAGTGAATGGCTATAAAACCCCCAGCTTGTCTGCAAACCGAAAGATGGAATAATAATTAGTAAGCAGTACGTTCATTGTATAAAATAAATAAAAGGCAGTATTTAAAATATCCATGTTTTTACCATCAATTCATGCATTTTTTTTTTCAGTTCTTTAAATTTAAAACATTCATAATAGAGTTTCATGAATTAAACCATTGCACACCTAATGAACGTGATGGCACATGTATAATGTTGCGAAATAGTTGATTAAAAATTATCATTAATAAACAGTATGTTCAGTGAATAAAATAAATAAAAGATAGCCTTTTATCAATCCATACTAATTATAATATTCTAACAATAATGTCCTTTTACACGTATACAGAATTCGCATTCACATTGTGCTAATTATATTATTTCAACAATAATTCCCTCTTGGAGGTTTTGCATTCACATTTTTTTTATTAGCAAGAGTTGAATTTATTTTTAAATTATCTCCCTTGGCAAAATTACAAAACAGCTTAATTAATTAGTTTTTTCTACACTTATTATTAAAATGTATCCTCTTTTTCTAGGAATCTAAACAAAAATTATATTTGACATTAATTCGTTTAATATGTTTTAGCAATTTGCATGTATTTAATATTTTCTTTACATTATGCGAAAGAGTAAAAACAGTAGCAACTATAAAATAAATCGTAGTCATTATATAAACAAACCCAATTTATTGTGATGTGTTTACTTTTATGGTTCCAAAATCTATAGCAATGGCGGAATGAAGGACTGACAAACTACCAGCAGTGTTATAATATTATAGATTTTTTCCTATGCAATTACATCAAAATAAAAACAGTCCAATATTAAAGTGAATAAAATATTAAGTCATTTAGTATTTTTAATTTGAAAATAAATTTAACATGTAAAATTTGAATATATTTTGTAAAAGGTCACATTGACCTAGTTTTTCGCCGGAACATGTTGAGAGAAAAGTACAGAAAATTGCAATAAAAAAGCTAATAAGAGCTGATTATATTATTTGAAATGTCCCAACTATCTGCTAAATATATAATTCGAGTTGTCTATACTTTATGGGTATACTTTATCACTTGGTATTTCTTTTTTCTTCATTAACGAGTTGTAATTTGCTAAAAATAAGTCAAAAATAAGTAATTACTTTTAATCTTGGCCCAATTTTGAGAAATGGTTCAATTTCATTAACTTTTTTTCAGCGATTTAACACTAAATTATTTTACAGAGAATATTTCTTTTTAAATGTAGGTTGACTGTAGTTACAAATAAAAAAACTTTTTTTTTACATATCTGTACTGTTTTAGCCATGTTGAAGCATAAAATGTTTAACCCCCCCCCCCCCCCCCACCTTATTTTCTCAAATCTGGACATTTTAACACTCAATTTTATTTACATAATTAGATCTAGGTGACATTTTCCTCTTTGAATCAATATAAAGGTGATTTTTGTGCAGTGCATGCAATAGAAGAATTTTAGTGATGTTGTGAAAGTGATTTTTGAGGTTTTTTTCTGTCCTTTCAAATTTTTTATAAAAATGGTGTAGTACGATTTTTAAGACAAAACTTGTGTATGGTTAACATGTTATACTATACTATAATAATACTTGTTTGAAAAAAATTGGGACTTCAATTTATCTTGGAATTGAATTAGAGAATGGGTACAGCTGTTTTTGAGATAATCTGTGCTTAAGTCCGGGTGTGGGGAAATTGCGAGACGCGAAAAGCGAAATGGCGAGGCGGGAAAGTGCGAGAAGGTAATGCGAGACATACCTGCAGAATTAAGGGTAAATAGCGAGACACTTTTTGCGAAAGAAAGTTTTTTCCTTTTTTTTCCATCTTTATTTATTTTAAAATAAACAAGCATTTAGCCATACCCTTTAACACGAGTGTTGTATGTTGTTATTTTTTATCTAGATACTAAGAAGATAGATAGATCTAACATCGTTGCTGTGCTACTGTCATCGCCCGCTCTTGTTAGCGAGAGGAAAATCCCGTCTCAGTCGGCATTAATTTAAAAATCTAGCCCGCTCATGTTTATACAAACGTGAGCTGTGTCATTGTGAATTGGTATAATCTTGTCAGCAGGAGAGATATTTTGCAACATTTATTTTTGGATTTTTGTACTTGCAAAAAGTGTAAAAGTATAAACAATTCTAAAAAGTGCAATTTTTTTTTTAATTAAGTAATTTTAATTACAAACAAAATTTACAAACAAAATCTTCTGAAACAGTCCTCAAACACACCTCGTGACACCATCTTTCACACATAGTACACCCAACCCAGTTCATTAGACTCCCATTTATACATTTTTCTTTTGCTACTTCTTCCAATCCACATTCACAACAATTCACATTCTCATCACAGTTGACCTCCTCGTTCATCCCACAAACAACACTGGCACCCATGTTCTCATCATCATCATCCGCACGCTCAACATCTGTTTTCCGTTTTTTATAATTTGTATTTTTTATCATTTCTGTAATTTTGGCAATGTCTTGCTCATTGTTGTCACCAGCAGTTGAGTTTTTTTAAAACATCGATATTTTCTCAAAATCTTGTCTAATTTCGGTCAAAATAGAGTATTTTAATCAATTCCTATTACAATGTATTAAGACAGTTTTCTAAAACGCGAAAAAACGTCTACAATTCTTTTTCTAACATTGCTTTTTTATAGTGTGACTTCACATCTAACCCCCCCCCCCCCCTCATCACACATCGTCATAAAATTACAGACCCCCCCCCCTACGAGTGTGACGTCATTTATGGAAGACCCCAAATAACACCACCACCAAAACCAAAAAATTCAGATAAGTTCAACTTGGTTTTAAAAATATTTGAAGTAGGCCCATAGCTTACGATAGAGCACGAGCAACTGATAATATCGGTGACGTCACTTTATTTTGTTGTATCCAAATGATGTAGGCATTTCCTTGTGCTTAGATTTATAAGGTAAAAATGCTAGAAAAAAATCGTAGGTATAACACAAAATTTCTATGCAACAATAGAAAATATGTTTGCGGCGGCAGCGGATCCGGGCACGGCGATCTTCAAAGACGGTAAATCAGGCGGCCTCGGCGTTCCACACAAAAGACAGAAGTTGATCTATCGTCGGCGGTATTTCCGTCGGTTTCGAACAAGGTGGTATTCTAAGTCGACACAAAAGATGGGGGGAGTTGACAAATCATCAGTATGTCTAGCGACGGAAAAATCGGAAGTTTTAACAATGTAAACGAAACGTCTTTGAAGTCTGGACCAAATACCACTGAAAATCGGGTGCGGTAAATTTTTCGCAGAAATCTTCGCATTTCAACACCACCCAGCGTAAGTATCGGCTTGTGGTAAAATGCGAGACAAAAAAGTCACGTGACCGACCGTTTTCGCGCCCTTCTCGCATTTTCCCGCCTCGCCATTTCGCTTTTTGCGTCTCGCAATTTCCCCACACCCCTTAAGTCCTCATGGGCCGAAAAAGGTATAAAAAAAACCCATCAGTTTCTTAAGCCAGCTGCATTCTTTCTTTCTAGATCTAATTTGTAATTGTCCTACAGACATAAAATTGGTATTCCCATTCTTAGAATTATTAGTACTCTGCAGAAAAACCAAAGCCATTATTGTGTGACTGATTCAAAAAAATCAGTTTAGAGTACCTACTAAACTAAAGTAAACTTAAATCTGGTATATTAATTAAGTATTAATAAAATACTTATAATACTTAGGACTTTACTTGGGGCGTCTTAGGGCCTACTGCCCGCCTACTACTTATAATACTAGTCAGTAGTTAGTTAGTAACGTAACTCCTAGGCCCTAGGCTACTAGACTATAGATCTAGATCTAGTTATAAAATCTACATTATTCTACAATACACTGCACAGATACTACAGGGCGTACAGGCAGTCAGTAGTCAGTGAGTAGTAGATCTAGATCTAGATCAGATCTAGAATCTAGATCTAGATCTAGATCTAAGTTGAAGTTCAATCAGACAAAGTTTCATAGTTTAGTAAAATTTTAAAATTTAAATACTCTTATTTTTTTATTAATTTAATTAATATCACCTTTTATAAATATTTAGATCTATATACTAGTATATACGTATTATGCTAGACTATATACTATATACAGATCCTATAGTCAAGTATAGTCTATTTAAACATCTATTTATTGCAAAACATGCTGCAACTAACTTTATTCATTGTAAACTGCAACGTTTTAAGGAATGAGAGTTAACTACCCTTTGTTGTTAACTAGATCTAGATCTAGTAGCTAGTTGCACAAAAAGATTTTAAGTAAATAAAATGACAAAATAACGACATGGTTGTATTAAGGGGACTAAATGCTTCAAAATGATACCAAACTTATGTTTATAGGATAAACGCCTTAAACGGTTCTCTAGATATGACTGTTTCAGTGTAAAAAGTGAGGGGACAACTAAGCATATGGCAGAGGCGTAGCGAGCGGGGGGGGGGGGGAACACATGTCCCTGGGCGTCGACCTTAGGGGGCGCCAAAATGGGTTGGAATAATAAATTGAAAGGTTGAGGGGGGGTGCAAGTTGAAAGTTTGAGGGGGGTGCAAATCGAAATCTTGAGGGGGGGGGGTGCAAATCGAAAGTTTGAGGGGGATGCAAATCGAAATCTTGAGGGGGTGGCGGTGCAAATCGAAAGTTTGTCCCCGGGCGCCGGGAACGGTCGTTACGCCTCTGGCCTATGGAGAATGAAAACAAAAATTGGTCACGTATAGAAAAAAGGCGAATGGGAAATAACTCTGCGTAGGCGCACATTTATAAAATTTTCAAACAAGAATTTTTAAACGCACTTACAACTGCATAGAGTATCTCTACCAAGATAATTCAAGATATTAATAAATTATTTAATTTAAAAGTGGTATATTAAAAATTATTTAAATAAAAATAGACCACTGGCTAGATTAAATCATTTAACTCAAAGGGGTCATCCATAAATGACGTCATCCTTTTTTGGACGATTTTTACGCCCCCCCCCCCTCCCCCTCCGTCACACATCGTCACAAAAAACCAGACCCCCCCCCCCCTAAAATGACGTCACACCTCAGCCTACAACCCCACTCAAAATTGCAGTTGAATTTTTTTTAACATCGACATTTTTCCAAAATCTTGTCTGAACTCTGTCAAAATACAATATTTTAATCAATTCCTATTACAATTTATTAAACCCTGTTTTCTAAAACGCGAAATAACGTCTAAAATTCGTTTTCTAACATTGCTTTTTTATAATGCAAAAGTGTGACGTCGCACCATTTGAACCCCCCTCCCCCTCATCACACACCGTCACAAAAATTACGGACCCCCTCCCCTCTAAGAGTGTGACGTCATTTATGGACGACCCCAAACGTCATAGTAATAGTAAAAATAAAAAGAAACTTGCTGAGTTAATTCCTAAGTAAACGGTTTTATAGAGACAGATCAGTACAGTGCAACATATGAGTGTTTTTGACTTATTGAAAGCAGGTCAGTTAAGAGATAATCTTTGGGTATCGTTAGATAACTGAACATAGCTGGCGCGAACCAAACAGCAACGTTATCAAGAATCGAGCATTTCACACAGCTACGTAGACAGACGCTAGACTCGATGGTTTCTGTCAGACAAGGACTCCAGGTTTAAATACATCTTTCCACCTGGTTTTGAACGTGAGGGACAGTTTGGTCGAGGGATGACCCACGGTCACCAGGCCGGGTACCGAACTATCAGTTCAGCTAGCGTGCGTATTACATAATAGACAACACTGTCCAGTTGTGATCACATTTAACAAAAGCTTTGGGAGACGGGGTCTAAAGAAAACCTCTGGCAGCAATGAGTATAAGCTACGGGGGGGGGGGGGGGGGGGGAGGGGGAGGGGTTGTGTGTAAAAAAGAGTGACTTTATTTGTAGACGGTGAAGGGCAGATTCAATTCCGTACCATGTTTAGAAAAGCAAGAGGTACCCCAGGACTATACAGCAAACTTAACCATACTTTACATACTTTCAACTTCGGATCATTCTTAAATATAGTATTCGAAAAGATCAAAGATACTAACTTAACAAAAGCAACTCAATTAGCACTCGACTCAAAGGTCTTAAACTCAGAAAGTCTCCCCCCTTCTCAGACAATTGTTATCTATGTGTGAGTGGGTATAAAGCAAATAAATATAGGCCTTTGTTTACAAGGCTATGTTTTATTCTTCAGCATGGTAAACGAATGGGATATGAAATAAATGAAGACTATCCGCTTGTTACAATATAATTGTCAACGATTAGTGTTGTTGTCTTAAGTATATAGACTTTTTTTTAAAACGGCCGTAGGCTCCATAGAACTCACATGGGAGCTCAAGGCGCTACGGGTCACGCAAAAGCCGGGGCGTCGGCGGCTGCTCCTTTTGAAGTTTTAACGCTGAACATAGTAGTACCCCTTACCCGCTATGCAGGACTCCGAATTAATGGATACCAAGTGATAAGATAGCCGCCGTTGGACTCCAAACACGGTATTGAAAAAAATCGAACCCTCCCGGGCGACCGGATGAAAGGTGTAATAATGCATAAATGACAAACAGACACACACACATATATTGCTTTATATATATATATATATATATATATATATATATATATATATATATATATATATATATATATATATATATATCAGTAAAGTACGGAGGGGGGGAGCAGGGGGAGCGACTGCTCCCCCTCTGGCCATTTTCATCATAGTGGCGCCTTTTTGGTAACTTTATGTATATATATATATATATATATATATATATATATATATATATATATATATATATATATATATATATATATATATATATATATATATATAATACATGTATATAGAACGTGTTAAAAAATCGGCGCCTTTTTTTGCTCATTTCGCTCCCCCTACAACGAAAACCTGGATACGCCTCTAATATATATATATATATATATATATATATATATATATATATATATATATATATATATATATATATATATATATATATATATATGGACAGACAGACAGACAGACAGACAGACAGACAGACGGACGGACGGACGGACAGACAGACAGACAGACAGACAGACAGACAGACAGACAGACAGATAGATAGATAGATAGATTATAAATGGACAATGTTTGACAAGCACCAATGCTTTTAGGTTCAGATCTAAGCGCAGTGACAAAAAGTTTGGAAATCGCTACTTTGGTGCGCTGAAGTGTGGGTTTCTTCCGTTTCATAGTTTTCCGATCTTAGTTTTACCTTTATTTACAAATGGCGACTAAATCACACAGCCTTGATACCCGTTCCGAACTGAATGAACTTGTTAGAAGAAGAGCTGAGATAGCGGTACATAGATCTATAAATATGTTAATAAATATGGTAATCTATCGTTTTAGGCGCGTAAAAACGGCCGATGCTAGAGGATCTAGTAATGTGAAAAAAAGTTGCCTCATTGATAATAGTAGTAGTAGTTATTAGGAATGTTGGGATATTTTTCCTAATTACCATAGAATGATAAAATGTACACAGATTAATCCTATAATATACCCCATTGATAAAAATACCAAATTTATCCTTCTAGGCCTAATAGTTTTTTTTATATGAATTTTTAAAGTTATGTATTAAACCTGTTATATATCACTGTAACATCGGATTTAATTGTGTGATTGGCTTTAGGCTTGCATACCACTGCTGCTATTCGAGATATAGGCCTAATTATAAAACTTTGCACATTAGTGCTAGAGAGTGTGGGCAATAGAAATATGAAAGTAAAATCAAAATTTGATGAAGGATAATTAGAACTAATCAAGTCAAATTAAAGTGAGGGGTGCTGTTCTATATAGGTCAATATGCAGACTGAAAGTCTATGTTTTTTTTTTTTAATATTAAAATTGAAACTTTGCTAGAGGGTGGGGGAAATAAAAATATAGAAAAAAATTATATTAAGTATGACTGCATATAATTAAAAAGTCCTATGAAAGGGTGTTGCACCCTTTTATAGTAATTATAGTGACTGCAATGGACGTATGTCCAGAATGTTACTATAATAGATAGGATACATTTTGGTTATTGATACTGAAGCATGTAATAAGAAGAATGCTGAAAAATAAAACTAGGGATGGTGTGTTAAAGCACTCAACTACTAACATGCAAGTCTTAAGCTCAGATCTCAGACGAGTCTGTCTGTGCAGCGTGCAGCATCCACCAAGCTCAGATGAGTACCTGACCCAAGGGAAAGTAAAGATAGCTTGGCAGAGAGCTAACCACACCATCACTTCATGTGCATGGGTCAAGAAACAGATAAACTCTACTTCAGCTGCTTTATGGATGATGGATTTACAGGTCCAAAAGGGAAACTACTTTAATATACTATATACTAGGGCCTTTATAAGACCCTATTGATATTTTGGTACAACTAAATTACTAATCAATAGAAAAACCTTAAATTCTTGTAAAAGTTTATTAAGCTAAGTGTTAATTTGTACCAAATCAGAAGTTACAGCTTCCCTGTCTATCTGCTTATATGAATATATATATTGGCAACATGCAGTGATTTAAATCTGTATTGTTTGTTGTTATTTGTTTTTTGTTACTTTTTATTATTAAATGTAAAAATTGTATCCTAAATTATTATGAATAATAATTATCATGCCTTTTTCATGTCATTCTAAATTCACTGCCTTATTAATTAGTACCCCCCCCCCCCATGTCAATTGCTGCACCTTTTGTTAATTATTTACTAATGTCATAAGCATAATTATTACAAATAATTAAATAAGTTTATCACCAAGCTTCTTTACTTATCATAACCAATAATAGGCCCAGACTTACTTTATCAATTGATACATATAGATCTAGTATATAGCATTAGTTATACTAAGAAATAGGCCTATAACTTATTTATAGTATAAAGTATTAATACTAATAGTTTCGCTGTCTCTCTGTCTATCTATCTATCTATCTGTCTGACAAGAACGCTCTAGAGAAAACACAAGGAAAATAAAAACATGCATAGTAATTCGAAAAACGAAGTATGACGTCGACACATTTAGCACAGAGTAGAAAATAATCTCAAGCCGGATAGTGCACACATTAATATGACGTCATTGATTATCGAGTAAACATTCAATACAAAGGCAATTTGGTCTAATCTAAGTGGTTTGCGTGAAGAGTTTCTTTCATACAATTCTTCGGGTAGGGGCGAAGCCCCACCCCTTAAGAACGTCTGAGCCCCCCCCCTCCTCTGGGAGGGGGCGGACACTGGAAAAAGTATATAATTATATTTCGTTGAATGGGACGGTAGACATGTTTTTTTAGAGGGGGTGGGGGGGGGGGGCTGTGGTGGTTTTAATTTAGACTTTTTCCTTTCCGGAGAGGGGTGGGGGTACTTGAAATTTTCGGTGGCGGGGGTAGAATTTTCGGGGAGGGGGCGGACACTGGAAAAAGTATATCATTATATTTCGTTGAATGGGACGGTAGACATGTTTTTTTTTTTGGGGGGGTGGGGGGGGGTGTGTGGGGGGGGTGGGGTGGTGTTAGTTTAGACTTTTTCCTCCCCGGAGAGGGGTGGGGGTACTTGAAATTTTCGGGGGCGGGGATAGAATTTTCGGGGAGGGGGCGGACACTGGAAAAAGTATATAATTATATTTCGTTGAATGGGACGGTATACATGTTTTTTGGGGTGTGGGGGGTGGGGGTGGTGTGTGGGTGGGTGGGGGGTGGTGTGTGTGGAGGTGTGGGGTGGGTGGGGGGTGGGGGGGGGGTTTAGTTTAGAGAAAAGAGACAGCACTATCAGCCTAGCGCCCGGTGTATCCTTCCTCAACGGGCCATTTTTCTCGTAATAGTATATTAAAGGCTATTAGTATTAGCCTTAAATGATTTTAAATCTAAGTAAGTAAGTAGGTATGTGTGAAATGCTTAACACTATTTAATGTAAGCCTAAGCTTCTTGCCTGTCGGTTTTAATAGATAACTTGATCAACGTATTTTATCTAGTTTTAACAGTGCCACCCACAATTTAAATTCTTTCCAACTTCGAAAACTACGTCATTGGCATTAGTGCGCGTATTTTATCGATAATAGGTAATGCGGTGCTAAACCGACGCCATGGCGTTGTCAAGGCCGAAGCGCTAGCTCGGGGATTTGACATGTATGATAACTCGTAAGCAGAAGTAGTAAGTGCCATAAAACCGTTATTATAATAATATTTGTTTATTTAATGGACACTTACAACTAATGGCAAGACACTTATAAAAGGTTTAATACGTAAACTTATTTAAAATGTGACAGCACCGTACGGGACATGTTCGCGAGATAAACTCATTAGAATCGTGCGATCGATTTCGGCTTAAAGATTGTCATAATGGCGGTAATTTTCTAATTGAAACATATAATACGACTACACTAGAATATCTATATCGAATATTTCTAAAAACTCGATTCCAACAGTGAGATTCGGCATTCTTCGGAAAAGGGCGAGTTTTTATAAAGACTGCATCGAAAAGTCCGGATGTTGAATACCGAATCGAAACAGCGGAAGTCGGAATGCCTAGTAGTATTAGTAGGGTAGGGTAATGTCAGCGTCGGAAATTAATATTATGTCAGAGTAAAACCTTAGTTTAGCATCATAAATTCGGCCAAAACTAGTAATATGGGAGAGAGTGAATTAATGTATATGTCTTTAAACTTTAAATATGAGTTTATTTTCGTATATTTTAATAAAATATTAGGCCTATAGATTATTGAATAATAGATCACCACTGATTGATGGTTAAATTAGTAGGTTTAATTATGGATTTTTTAAAATAAAATATTCTGTTATTTCAAATACACCATTAAGTTCCTTACCCCTTAAGAGAACATTTGACACCACATTTAAATATCTAGCTTACTCGGTTGATGAGAAAAGAGAGAATTTGAAAATTATCCGAGAATGGAAAATGAAAGTCAAAACATCGTTTTTGGCCCTCGACCGGCATAACATGACGTCGTGGACTTGTGTTCATGAGCTTTTAATTCCCGCCATGGCAATTGCGTCAGCTTAGGTTATTTACTCACCGGAAAATAACAAAAAGCAACTGGTTGATAATAAAACTAGATCTAGTTATTTTATTATTTATTAAATTCTACTCTACATGTTATTCATACCATTTTATGAAGTAATGAACACCTGCATAAATCAAATGACCATAATAAATATTTTTATTTCAAATTCTAATTTTAAATAATAAATATGCTTAAAATAATATGATAGTAATATTAGTAATAGTTAAGATAGTTTATAAATACAAATACATTTTACACTCAATCACTTTATATTGAGTCAACAGTGTGGCAGCTGAGGTTCATACATGGTATTAGTGTCTTTTTTTTTTTACATTACATTTTTTTTTACATTTTTTTTCATCTTGAAAACATGACGTATGTGATTATTTTTTTTAGTAGCATCTTGTGTTAAAATAATGATGAGAATTGGCGAGATAAACAGTTCTTTAATTTGTCATGGATAGGACCCCTAAGGGTCAGAGGTCAATCCAGCCATCTAAGCAATGAACCGGACTATAAATTAGCTAAGCCAATGCCGCTGCTGAGAAAATCAGACAAATCGGTCTTTCCCTACCCTATTTCAACTCTATTTTTTGCATACTTTTATTGTAGCGAGGCTCACTAACTCGAAAGCGTCCTTGGTTGCTAACAAGAACATGGCTACCACACCTTGGCCTACGATTGGGCAATTTTTTCAGCTTTGTTCGAGAGACCACCATAACATTAACTTTAAAAATAATTATCACGCGAAAAATGGCGTTTTTTTTTGCTTATTTTAAGCTATCTGAAGATGACAAAGCTATTTTTGCCAGAAAAAAAATTTAAAATTTGCTTCCGACAATGTAGGTCAAACGTAAACATGGGTATAGTTTGAGTTGTTTAAAAACTTTAAATAAAGGACTGTAAGGTAGTAGCTAAGCCAATGCAGCTGCAGAGAAAATCGGATAAATCGGCTTTTCCCTACCCCCTGCATGTTTAACTCTGTTTTTTGCATGCTTTTATTGTGTTTATGTTAACATGTTATACACCATTCTGTTCGTAATTGAATAACCTTTTTAACTGTATAAGTTTGATTTCTGTATTATTTCAGACGTTGAAGAAATCGCCGATTGAATCGCATTTTTTACCCCCGCGGCGACGTGCCGATTAGGGGGGAGGCTTTTTCACCTTTTCAAAAGGGGGGTGTTACTTTGAGTCTATAGACTCTTCGAGTTTTCGTACTACAACAGTGAAACTTGGTAGAATAATAGACTAAATGTTCATGTATAGCGCTCAAGGTTCTTGGGGAAAATATGTTAAATACTTTTGGAGATATCAGACCGCAAAGTTGAACTTAGTTATTTGGGCTATTAATGAACCGATTTTTTATTTGAACCTTGAGCTGTATTCCTGAAATCTCGACGTTTATTAATATGTATGGTATGTCATATTAGGCCCTATAATAAAGGCGTCTATAGACTTTGAAGTGGACCAAAAATCAAAACATGACGCGCCGACCGCTGTCCGACTGAACCGCTCGGCTGTGCTTCGAATCGCCGTGTTTTAAATATGACGCGCTACAATTTTTTTTATAGGCGTATCGAGTTTACGTACTACAACAATCTAATTTGGCAGACAAACAGATTGAATGTAGACGTACAACGCTCAAGGTTCGTGGTCAAAATAAGTTTAATACTTCGGGAGATATCGGACCGCAAAGTTGAACTAAGTTTCCCGGTCTATTATTGTACCTATTTTACATTTGAACCTTGAGCTGTATTCCTGAAATCCCGCCGTTTATTTTAATGTTTGACATGTATTATAACACCTCATAATAAAGCCGTCCATACATTTTAAAACTGAACGAAAATAAAAATTAACGCGGCGGCCGCTATCCGACTGAATCTTGAGTCGAGTGTGTGGTCACGTGACGCTAGGTGGTTGATCCTATTGGATGAGACTATAAACAATTTCTAAAGATAGATACGTGTGTTTCCTTGTTCGACTCGTCGGGTATTGCTATTTTATATTTAAGTAGACAGGCATGTTTCATAACTTTGTCTTTAACCATGGAAACGGCAAAAAAAAAAGTTGTAATAGTATTACTATTTACTATTCGTCAAAATTAATCTTCTTTAGAAATTAAACTGGATAGCTGCGACCCGACCAAACAATGCTGATGTGATTCGCGTAACGTTTCATTATTGTGTACATTACTTTTTTGTAAAAATGGCTTCAAAAATAAATTTAATTTTACCCCGGGCTCTTTTTTTTTTTTTTGGTTAAAAAAAAATTTTAAAACCCTTTACAACGTGGAGGTTACTAGCTTGTCGAATCGACCAAATTGGGATGGGGTGGGTATGGGGAGTCACTGACCATCCTACACGGTATGTAACACCGTACGTAACATTCATAGCCTCACCCCGCCCCCACTACTCCGTGACGCGACAAGCCGAGGGTCAGCGCCTTTGATGTTGTATAACACACTTACGGTACCCGAGCGGCTCGCTGTGGTTTCATACCCCACCTCCCTCCCCCTTCACTTTGTGGAGTTGATGTTACTAACCCTCGGGCATAGATCAGGAAATCTTGCCAGACTTTTGTCTCTAAAATTACATAATATTCGTCTGACACATTCATCGAGTTGGCCGACTAGCCTATCTTGCCTCGTGTTTACGCAATACGGCAATAAAATTAGTTGGTCAGAAAACCTGGTTACCCACGTCTGATTGAACTAAATCTAGGCAAATGCTGATTGTGATAAACGCCTCTTTGTTTAGGCAGACACGGGAAACTTAAAAAATGCCTAGCATCTACTACACACAGTCAAGCACTCAAACACATGCTTTTTTTTCCCAATGTAATAGGCCTATGGTAGGCCTACAAAATACACAAGCTTACTACTAGCATAAACATTGAGCATATATAAATCTATGTTATAGACCTATAACTTACACTACCTTGTACAAGCTATAAAAAAAAAAAAAAATCCTCCAATGTTTATGTTATTAAAATTGTAAAAATGAGCAATTTTTTTGTGTTTAAAAATATTACAAAATTATCATAAAGCACACTGATTCTGATAAGACACATTTGTAACTAGACTAATTCTATAGAAGAAAGTTGTATCAATGGTATGACATTTAAAGTAACAAGAAATATAAATATAATAAGATATGCCTATATTTTTGGAATAGAGTAGGCCTGTAAGATTGCACATAGATTACATAACATATTTTAAGAAGTTACATCATCACAAATATACTATTGTTATAGCATCCTTCTCTTTGTATTAAAACTATTAGTTATCTGTTCTTTAAGTAGGCTATTCACTTAAGTTAACTGACAATGGCAAAAGAGATTTTAAAATAAATACATGGTAAATTATGAGCAAAAGGTGCGAATTACATACCTTGACCTTTATAGTTTTGTAATAATGTTCGACCATTTTAAATATCACCATTAGCTTCAGCATATACAAATGTCATATTATGGTTTTAAAACAGTGTTTAATTTAAAGAATGACTTCTTATCACACGCATTATCAGATGTTGTAACAAAAATTGAAGGGGGGTATTACATAATCCATGAAATAAGTCTGTTATGTAATCAAAAGACACTTTTTAAAATAGCATCATTGGATTCGGCATAAAAAATCTACAAAACATTATAAAATGGTGAAGTCTGCTTGCTTTTAACCCACTTTTAGTGAAAAACTCTTAAAAATTTGGTCCATACCCTCCCAGTATTTTTCCTCTTTCAGGGTCTACCCTGGTTGTCTGAAAAAACTGCTGTTTTTTAATGACAAAAAAATTCATAACTTTTTTTGTTTATGGTCACATTTTGAAAATTCAAACTGATCTGTAATCAGATTGACAACCCCTATCCAAATATGTAACTATTATATTGTTTTACTAAAGTTAAATTTTTGCATTGGCTTAGCTAGTTAAATCAATTGGCAATCTATCGTTTTAGGTACGTAAAAATCGCCCGCGGCTAGTAATGTGAAAAACAGGTGACTCCTTAAATTTTAATAATTATTTCACATTTTGAGGAGGATTTATGTTTTGAAAAATACAAAAATGTTTCCTTGTTTACCTGTTTTTAAACAATTGAATTAAAACTTTTCAGTAATAATTGAAGACTAGCGATGTTTCCAACAGATACAACCATGCTCATTTAAATATAACAGCCAAATTTTTTTTTTTTTTTTATTGTAAACTTATATCGCAAGATTCAGGGAAAGCCACTCTAACTTACAGATGGCCGCTTTTTATATAGCAAATCCTGCCCGCAAACACTGCTGTTGAAAGTTAATTTCTTGCCTATAATGATATATTTAGCCCTTGATTTAGGGTTAATATTCATTTATCTATAATATTTGACACAAATATATCACAATATACTTCTATTAAAGCCTTGACAATGAGGTAACTTTTTCGTACATTACTAGCCGCGGGCGATTTTACATACCTAAAACGATAGATTACCAATCAATTTAAATACTAAGTGTTTATTCACAGTCGACTGTGAATAACCGTATTGGGGCTATTCACAGTCGTGATAGTTTTGGCTAGATTTAATGTTAAAAATATCCAACTTGGCATGAAGATGTGTGGTAAAGCGGACATGGGGAGTGGCTGTCGAGTCATAAGGTGCGGGTTCAAACCCATCAAATGCCTTAATCATGCTATGCTTTAAATGTATGCCTCTTAATCTTATTAACAAAATATTTTTGCCCAGTTACTTGAGTTACTCATGGAAGGTTTATTTTTGTTAATTTTTTTTCGTTTGTAACGTAATAGTTGGCATATCAGCAAAAAAAGAAAAAAAAACTTGTCCCGTAGATTTTTGCTAAGAGAATAAACACAAAACTGTGAATTATTATAGCTGATGAAAAAGGACATCCTATTTCACCTGATATTTATTCTATGTGATTAAGTGAATTTTAATAGTTGAATAGCAATGTGAACAACCAACTAAACTGATGTTTAATTAGTATTATTTATTTAAAAATTACTAGATCTATTAGTTAGTCTAGTATAGATTTAGAGTGCATAATTGATCATCTATGACTTATGTAGCCTGTAGCAAATATGTCTGATATGAGCCTAAAAGCTAAACTAAACTTTAACCATAATAACTTTAAAAAAAAAAAATAACACAATAAAAATAGCACTGCTCTCTTAATCTATACCCTACTCCCCATTCACAATAAATGCTTTTATTATTGTAAGATATCATTCACAGTCATATTTAGCATGAAATGACAGCCGACTGTGAATAGCCCCTCCCCCCTAAGAGTGTGACGTCATTTATGGACGACCCCTTATTTAATAAAAACCACAAGTGATATATTCATTTAATTAGATTTCAATAAATATAATTGTATAGGATTAACTGTAAAAATAAAATTTAAAGCAAGAATTGTTTTCAAATTAATTTTTTTAAAGGAAAAAATTGCAATGAATGAAATAGGCTCAGACTGCTATTATATTCCCTTTCTCTTCCAAACATGTTCATTGGTTATGCACTGCAAAAATTATAAGAAAAATAGCAGTGTATTGTTTGGTCAAAAGTTTTGGGAAACCTGTTTAATTGTAAATCTGAATTGATGTAAATTGTTTTTTTCACAGGATACTTTACATAATTTGGAACGACAAATTTATGCATTTGAAGGGAGCTATTTGGAGGATACACAGTTATATGGAAACATAATTAAAGGATGGGACAGATATCTTACAAATACAAAGTTTGTTAATTTTTTTGGCAATCCTTTTTGAAGGACACTCTTTGTTTGTTTATCAACTAAAATTAGTACTGTGATTTTGATTTATCTTTGCTTGATATGTGTACCTTCTCTTCCTCTCTTCCCCCCCCCCCCCCCCCCCCCCCATTCCAGTCGTTATACTTCTGTGCAAAAAGTTTGACATCCACTACCTCTAAAACTAAAATTTTAGCCTATCCCCTTTGTAACCTGCTTATACAGTTTAATAACTGAAATCCATGAAGAATGATATAAATAGAAGTGGGTGTCAGACCCATTATAGATAGACTAGACATCGGTACCTGTTCCTTACTACTTACACGTAAATGATAGGCCTATATATTTTAAACATTAAACTTGTTAGAGAAAAATAATTTATAAAATAGTTATTGATCGAACATAGAACATTGTTTGTGATGAAACAAAGAAATAACTAAATAGCTAAAAATCTGACACATATAAAAATAACATAGGTTACCAATACCTATTCGAACAAACCAGGAGTGGTCTCCCCTAAACTTTCTCGAATATTCTTAAACGATCCGACCCGTGGGATATCATACGCCGCTATTTAGTTGTTTTATTTTCTACTTTTCAGTAATTCATATTTTGTGAATTCCACAGTACCAATGCTGCCACTGAAAAATTTGCTTTAAAACACTATCAGTAGCTCATGAAAGCAACCTCCTCTTAGTTACCTCCCCTAAGTTTAAAATCGTTTCAAACTAATTTATCTGCCCCTAATAGCCGTCACTAAACCCGGCACTACGATTGTAAACATTTAGCGTGAACCACAGCTCACCCGACCATGTGGGGGTGGTAAGCATATGCCTAGAGAGGAAGAGAGGGGACTGCTAGGGGCACTTACAGCTTGGTATTTTCTAAGGTATCCAAGAAGAGAATTATAAATATAGATAACACTACGGGGAATGGCAACTCGAAATATAGACATTATTTTTAATCCATTTTTAAATACTTAAACTTTTAAAAATAGAATAGTATCTAGTAGAAAAAAGAATTGCGCACCAAGAGAACGCCAAATAAAATGTGCATAATAGTACGGAATATTATTAGTACTTTATAAATTCACATGTTTTTTTTTAGAAATCGGAAACAGCGTAAATAACTACTTCCGGTCAACGGAAATAACTCAAAATTTGACAGAAGGCAGAGAATTAGATCTTTTACTTACCTGTGAAATTTCATTTATCTATCTGAAATAGTAGGTACTCAAGTTATAGGCTTTTGAAAAATTGAAAATAGAATAAGTTCCACTTCCTGGAAATTGCTGAAAAGTCGGCGTGGTCGAGTTGGTATAGCTCATGGTTGCTAAACCGAAAAGTCTCGAGTTCAAACCCTCGGGCAGATGAGGCTCGTTAGCTGGGGACAGCCACTCTTCTAGGAGAGACAACTCCAAAATTAAACAACTGTTGCCTTGTAGTTTGTTCTTGCTTGGACAAAGGCTATGGAAGCAATCCAAAAAGAAAAGCAGGCTGAAATCGGAGTCAATGGCCTCAATGGCGCATAACCAGTTGACACGTAACGCTTAATTGTGTTGGAGGCGTGGTCGAGTCGGCAAAAAGCTCATGGTTGATAAATTCGAACAAAGTCTCGAGTTTAAACCCTCTGGCAGATAAATCTCGATCCCCTTCAACACTAATAATTAAGAACGAAGAAGAAGAAGAAAGAGCTGAAAAGTTACTACAAATTTGATATAACTTATATATGAAATTTCATCAATCTAAATATAACGGTACTCAAGTTATCATGTTTACAGAATTGCAAAGCCCAGTTATTCCGACTCAATTACGCATAGAACACTGAAATTTTGATAAATCTGCATTTATTATTTTTGCCCAATTAAAGTAAGTCCCCTATACTCAGTATATGATGAAGTACTGAGGTGTAAAACGATGAAAACTCAAATTTCATGTGATTTTTACAATACTTCCTCTATACTCTGTGTACGAGAAAGTAAAAATTAAAACCAAATTATATGCACACACTTAAGAGACTTAAAGTTAAATAGTTAATTTCTTCATATTCTAAAATTGGAAGATGGCGCCAATAGTGTTATGTATTTTCCGAAGTTTAAATGTGACATGTGATGTCATTGTTTTTTTTTGTTTTTTTTGCATTCTTGTCTCTATCATAAACACTTTTCCGGTTGCATACTTAAAAATGTGTTTCTACATTCCAATATGCCTTTATTTTTATTTTTCTTCTTTAAATAAAATTTAGTTTATACGTTTAATACATCCAACATATTATTTTCAACAAAAGCCTGTATCATTATTTTCTCCAAATATCACTGAAGATACAGATATTATAGCCTTTGAAAGTATTTTGCGGACAGAGAGAGAGGTGTGCTCATGGGCTTTTACATATTAGGATGGGATGGGATGTCACTAATAAAAAGAAGATAAAAATTGTTGGATGTTGTTTTTTGCAATAGTTATGAAACTAGTTTTTCAAATAGTAATATATTCAGTTGGTTTTTTTATTATTATCAACACTCCCTGCCTATGCCTCTGATTGGGATGTCTATTATATGTTCAGAAGTGAGGTTTATTTTACTATTTGTATAACATTTACAGAAGCACCAACAGCAAGGCTGATAAGCGAAACAGAAAATTTAAAGAAGCTGATAGACTATTTTCTAAATCATCAGTTACATCTGCAGCTGTAAGTATTGTACTATAAACAAAGCGGGATTGATCTTGCCTAAACTTTCTTGAATATACTTATATAACACTATGGGGGATGGCAAAACAATTTTCAATTGCTTCAACTTTTTAAAATAAAATAGAACCTTGTAGAAAAAAGAATTGTGTGTCAAGTGATCAGCAAACAATGTGTGTATAATAGTGCGGAATATTGGTACTTTATAAATTCATATGCGTTTTTGAGAAATGGGAAATAGCTTAAAGTGCTTATTCCAGAAAAGGAAATTACTCAAAATTGATGAAATATTAATATTGATGGATTTTTCTCAAACTGACCAACTCAAAAATGTTCAAATATTCATTTATTTTTTTATTAAATCGAAATTTAAATTGTGCATAGTGGCCCAAAATTTAGAGCAATGGGATAAAAAAAAAATGTATCCCTGCACAAAGTGCGTACAAGTATAAGGCTGATGAGACATTTTTTTGTACAGAATTGCATTCATAGCAAAACCAATGGTTTTGCTTCATGAGTCTTAGATCTAACAAAATGACTAACTTTTAAAAATTCTAAAACCAAACTTTAAAATGATATAGTATAATCAAGAGTTTCTTTACACATTTTAAAAAAATTTAATGGTGATGATGACACAATAAAATAATCAGTTTTTCCCTCTCCTGTAAAATTTATCTTTGCATGCATGGCCATCAGTAAGTTTACAAGAAGTAATACTTTAAGTTAATAAAAAGGGAAAAACCTTTTAATTGCTAAATTTACTATTTTTAGGTAAGTTTGTTTTCTAATAGTGTATCGTTAAAAAACAAGGAAAGTTAAAATTGAGTGATTAGATTAATTGTAGGCATTTATATTTTTTCAGGCAGTAGCTGGTGTTGCTGAGCAAGAAAAAAGTTAGTAGTCTTTATTATTTTATGAATTATTTATACAGAGATTTGAATTTAAAATTTCCTATCAGAATCATAATTTCATTTAAAAATTAAAAATTAAATGTAGTTTGAGTCTTTTTACAAAGTGTTACATATAATCTACATGTTTGCAAGTATGTGACTTGTCTGATTTTTAGCCTAAGCTGCAATTTTTCTCCACTAATTTCATTTTCCCCAAATTTTTTTTAAGTTTTAAACTTAGGAGAGAAAAAATAGAAGTCACCTCCATAGAAACAGCCAACATGAGCATTACACACATTCATTTTTAAAACTATATCTATTGTATGTTTCTTTGTTGCCTCTCAATTGAAAATGACTATCAAATACGCACATTTCTTTTATTTTGGGCAATTAGGCTAGTCCTGACGGAATTAAGTAAGATTCTGTAGCGGTTAAAATGAAAATGACTATCAAATACGCACATTTCTTTTATTTTGGGCAATTAGGCTAGTCCTGACGGAATTAAGTAAGATTCTGTAGTGGTTAAAATCTTAACCTAAGTAATATGTAAGGATCTGTGCCCTCTATGGTCCAATAGCTTTCTTTTGTGGTACAATAATTGACTGAACTATTTATAGTACATTTATTTATGCCTAGTATTTGAAGTCTCATTGGTAAAGAGATTTCTGAAATATCATCAGAAGCAGGAAATGTTTAGTTTTATTTTTGTTGTTTTATCTTTGTTCTTTCCACTGCTGTTAATATTAGAAGGAAGTTCCAGTGTTTTTTTTTTTACCATTTAAATAATGCATTTAATGTAAAATGAAAATGTGTTTTGAAAATGATCAGCATTGAATTTTTTAGATGTTCATTTTGATTTTAGCACAAAAGCTAATACTTTAAGAATTTTACACAAGGGCGTTCAAGTTGAGTTTTTTACCATATGCATGTCGTCCATGCGTCCGTCAGCCTGCCACAGAGTCCATTTGAGCTTTATGTATTATATTAGATAGGGTGGCGTAAACAATAGTGTAGGTTTAGAGTAGGGTCCCTTTATTTTTAGTGACCTTAAATGATTAAACTTTTGAAAAAAAAGTGAGCAGACTCTTCATTTATATATTTTAATGTTGAGAATACTGTATCCATGATCTTTTTTTGTTGATATATTAAAACCTTAATTGTTAAGTCACAGTCACCATCTGCCTTGCTATGAAATACAGGTTTTACTTAACAACCATTGTATAATGACTTTTTAAAAGCATTGCCTTGTTATATTTTCTTTGATAGTTTAACTTATTGCCAGTACACTAAAGTATAATTTAAAAATCAATTTTTTGTGTTGTTTGAAAAAAGTGTTATTTTATTTACTAAAACTGGTTTTTACACTTTGTATGCTATGATTGTTATTTATTTTTTAGGGGAGCCTGCAAGTCCAGAATCTAATACTACAACACCAGCGGCACAAATCAATGGTGCCAGTTCACCTACAGGAAGTACAGCAAGCAGTGGAAACCATGGCCCAGCAAATAATTCATCTGGAAAAATTCTGAAAACTGCAAATACAAAGCACAAAAAATCTACTAAAAGCAAAGCTAGAAGCAGGTAAAGAATGTTACTAATAATAAATTAGATTTTGTGTAATTTTTTTAATTTACCTAAATGATTTAGCCATTATACATTAAATGCAAATAAAATCAGGTAGGCCTATATCTCTAATGATGCTAACTGATATTGAAAAGGAAATAAACCGGGAGTGATCTCCCCTAAACTTTCTCGAATATTCTTATATAAAATAACAGGGGATGGGAACTCGGGCTATAGACATGATTTTTAATCCATTTTAAATACTTAAAGTTTTAAAAATAGAATAAAATCTCGTAGACAAATTAATTGCACACCAAGTGAAAGCGAAATAAAAAAGCGCATAATAGTGCGCAATATTATTATTACTTTTAAAATTTATATTTGTTTTTTGAGAAATCGGAAGTAGCGTAAAGTACTACTTCCAGTCAACGGAAATGACTCAAAATTTAATAGAAGGTAGAGAATTAGATTTTTTACTTACGTATGAAATTTCATTTATCTATCTGAAATAGTACTCAAGTTATAGGCTTTTGAAAAATTCAAAGTAGGAAAAGTACCACTTCCGGTTATCGGAAATCGCTCAAAAGTTGATACGGATCTACGATTTTGATTAAATACTTATATTTGAAATTTCATCAACCTAGCTGTAACGGTACTCAAGTTATCGTGTTTACACACGGACACACACACACACAGACACACGGACAAGATTGCAAAATTATGTTTTTCCGTATCAGTGAGATGCAAAACGTCGAGATTTGCAAAAATCTCGATTTTTTTTTTTTTGCACGATTACAAGACTTTCTCTATACTTCGTATATACGAGAAAGTAAAAAGGATTACATACATGGTCATGTATTTTTGCAAATATATTATTTATAGATGTAGTAAAATTCCCTGATTTGTAAGACAATAATATATTTTTATGTTGATACTTTTATTGGACAGATAGCAAAATAAATACTCTGAATGGACATCAATTTTTACGTAAAACTTACAATTCTATTTTATCCCAGTTATGATGAAGTAGTGCAACATTTCAAAATATTGTCATTGATTACTTTAAAACTCACCACTGTCATTTTTACAGCAGAACTGTATGTGGTGCTTAAATAATTATTGCATTTAGTTGTATTAAAAAAATATAATCATTCATCAAAAAGGCTATTTAATAAAACATTATCAAAATGAGCTTTTTTATTCTATATTTATGAATTACTTAATTAGTAATGACTGATCATGAGCACTTTGAGGAATCAACTACTTCTTTCATTTAATGCTTTAATTTCAAATAATAGATTTACTTCCCAAGAAAGTTGGCACTTTAAGCTGAACATTCCATTTTCACCAAAAAAAACTATCTGAATTTTTAATGTAGAATATTTTTTTTAAAACCAGGTCTGAAGGAAAACAGAAAAAGGGTAAAGACTCAAATAGCTGTAAGTTTGTGATTGAAAGTTATTTTGTTTTATAAATTAATTTTAGAGTGCTGTTGTCACAGAAACTTTAAGAAATCTTTCATCAATAACACCCAGATATTAAAATTAGGATCTCATTTAATGTACATTTTTTCAATGGTATGAGAAATATTTTAGCAATTTGTAACTTGAAGATAAAAATAATTTAGTATTGTAATATTTCTTAATTTATAATACTAAATTTTGACCAAATATATCAGGTCATCCAAAAATTACTGGCAATTTTAATCAGTTTAACCATAATTCCTAATAATAATTTACATTTATTTTCCTTTACTAACTTTGACCTCTCAAAACACATAGTTGCATCACTCTTTTGAGATTTTAAAATCTATATCTATAAAAGCAAAGTTGTTAAAATCAGTTATATGCAGGCAAGTATCATTTATCATTATCAAAAAAATGTTCTTGTCAAAGTTGGCTAATAAAATTCAATCTAACAGGAAAATTAGTCGTCTCAATAACCGAGTAAAGTGACCAAAAACTGACCTAGAGTGACTGTGGCCATATATAAACCATATATTTTTTAAAGTGCTTTAATTAGATCGACCACTTGCTGATCTGACAAAAAGTTGGTATTTACATGAGCTCATAATTTTTAAAAATCCTGTATATGTACACATTTTAAGAGTGAATTAAATAGCTAGCAAGGTCAATCTACAACAGTCCTCATATGTTGCATGAAGAGTTTAGTAATGCACCAGCGGAAGAATGCGGGACAAGGATAATATATGCCAACAATATTACATGTTTGATGCATTTTCAAATATATAAAGTTCAAATAGAGTCTGTTTATCTGTATGTGGTGGACCGATATGTAGGTAGATGACATGCAGTTAAAAACTGCTTGATTGCCATTGTATATTTTTAACTCAATCCGTCCCATGAGCCGCGAGATGCGGCTTGGGCCAGCTTCACCGTAGGCCCGCGAGCCGCAAGGTACGGCTCAACACGGCTAGTGTTAGCTTTTTTTTCAAGTCATTTAACATGTAAAAAACCTACATTCTTTAACATAATTCACAATTATTTTTATTTACTACTATAGAAATTTCATTTCTGTTCATTTTGATGTATAATAAATAAATCTGGTTAAAAAAACATAGGAGCTATAATTGTTTAAGTATGTGAGGGCTGTGTAAAAAAATTGGGTCACGGAAATAATGAGGTCAGGAGGTGGAAACGCCTCTGGTATAGAAAGAGTTAAAGTGTTAATTATGCCAATTACTTCCCTTGATGGGTGTCTTTCAAAAAACTCGTGTTTATATTTCCAATTAATGTGAGTTTATGATTATATTAACATTTGTGTTTAATTTTGTGTTTATATTTTCACTAATGTCCATATTTATATATAGATTTGTAAATAATTTTTTTTATTAATTCTCAAACACAAGGCAGTGTACAGGGTATATAATGCTTAATGAGCACATAAGTCACAGCCCTTTACAAATTACCTTACCTGAAATATTAGTGCATTTCCTGGCCGGTATGGCTAGTATAATATAATTGATTTTATTAAATTGTTGACATTTTTCTATTTTATTTCAGAGTTGCCATGGTTGATGAGCTGAGACAGCACACAGTAATTTCTAGTGAGCTTGTTAAAAGATAAACATGCCCTCTGTTTCTACTATTAGTAGTTTCCTGTGCTTAACAAGATGTGCACCATTAGCACTCTATAAATTAATGGGAAAACTGAAATACTACTAATATTCATGGTACTACTAAGGATAGTTTAATGTAATGGTTTTAAAATGCATTTGAAGTAAAAACTGTCTTACTCATTTTATCTCTTTATTTTAAATACAACTTAGTACTACGTTCATATATTAAAGTTGGATTTCAAATAGATTTTGACATATCTTAATGTTGGCCCTTTTAAACAAAATTCCAATTTCGAATTGCAGATAACATTATTTTAAAAAGTTTTATTTTTTTAATTATTTCATTTAGAAGTACTTTATTTGTAAAATTGTATTGTTTATTTATAATTTGGACTGTATATAAAAAAACAAAACCATAATCCCAAAAATATATGTTTTTGGTGTTGATGCTTTTCAGATTTCACAGCAGTTTATTTTACATTGAATCATTAAATTTTAATGCATTTAAAATTATTTCTGGGAGCCTCAGTAAATTAATTATATGCCTAAATACAATTATTCTGTGATAGATCTTCCTTATTTGAGATTATTCACCCTGCATACAAAAATCTTACAATGATTCAAAAAATCTTAGCTTTGTAATTCAATGATGATTGAAGATATAAACAAAGTGAGTGATCTCCCCTAAACTTTCTTGAATATACTTACAGTTACAGAACACTACAAGGGATGGCAACTCGGGGGGGGGGGGGGAATAAACATCATTTTTCATCAATTTTTAATTACTTAAACTTTTAAAAATAGAATAGAATCTAGTAGAAAAAACAAACTGCACTTCGGTTGATCAGCAATGTGTATAATACTTTAATAGTGTGGAATATTAGTACTTTATAAATTCATATGTTTTATGGGAAATGGCGTCAAGTACTTCTTCCGGTAAACGGAAACTTCTCAAAATTTGACAAAAGGCAGAGAATTAGATCTTCTACTTATATATGAAATTTCGTATATCTATCTGAAAGTGAAACAGTGCTCAAGTGATAGGCTTTTGAAAAACCAAAAATAGTGTAAGTTCCACTTCCGGAAATCGCTGAAAAGCTAATACAGAACTACAAATTTGATATGATACTAAAAAATGAAATTTCATCAACCTAGCTATAATTACTCACGTTGCGTGTTCAAAGACATACGTGCAAAATTAAGTTTTTCTGACTCGGGGAGGTGTAAAATGTCAGAGATTTGTGAAAATTTCGATTTTTTACACGATTACAATACTTCTACACTTCATATACGAGAAAGTAAAGTATTTAAGTAGGCAAATTGAAATTAACTATTGATTGCAGACTTCTGTGGTATGTCCAGAAAGAACTTTTAATTGTAAGCTTTATGACATAAATTTTATAAAAATATCTCAATAAATAAAAAAAGTTATGAGATTTTTAAAATAGCAAAATTTGGTAAAAAAAAACAACAGATTTTCAAAAAGTGCCAATTTTGAGAACCCATATTTTCTAAACTAAATAACATAGAAATGTAAAAATTGGTAAAGTTGCTGCACAGTTGGTAATATATATGCCCAATTTTTTTCAGTCATCTAAAATGAGTCTTTCTAAGGTAAAAAAAAAATATAATTGAACATTACGAAGGCCCCCCCCCCCCCCCCCCGAAATTTTTTTACCGCCCCCCCCCCCTCAAACGAAATGGAATTTATATAATTTATATAGAAAATATACTTTTAACAGTGTCCGCCCCCCCCCCCCCCCGGAGAAAAAAAGTCTGGAAGAAACACTGGGTATTTTAAACACCGAATGTGCAATACGTCCATCCGATAACAATGTTTCAGCCATTCCTGTAGATGCAACGGTTATAGGAATGTCTCCCCTGGCTCTGATGGTGTGAATTAGTAGCTTGTACACAAAGGCTTTCCCTGTTCCTGCGGGACCATCTAAGAAGAAGCAGGTTTGCCGCGGTCGGGAGTCTGTGTATGCAGCGTCCAAAACAGTGTCAACAGCGTGCTTTTGTTCAGTGTTGAGTTTGTCGTAGTGTTCCATAGAGTGGACTGGGAGTGTTCAGCCTGAGCGTGGAAGATGAATGAGCGCGGAAGATGAATGACACATTAGAAGAATGTCAGTGAGGGGTAGGTGTAATTTGTGCAGGTTGAGGCCATGTGGTTGGAGCATGTCATTTATTTCTGCGCGAGCATACATGCAAGCGGTGCGTGTGGAATATGTTCTGAGAAAGTCCCCAGAAAGGGAGAGTTTTAACTTAGCGTGTCCCAAAGGTAAGGAACATACATTATGTGGTTCGCCGAAGACACAGATGAAAACGAAAAGTTGTCGCAAGAAGGATGGCATTCATATCTCAGATGCCTCTGTAAGAGTATCATGCCATGTCTTCTCGTCCTTAAGAAGACCCAATTGTTGGCACGCCCCTTTGAAAATGTTACATTCCACGCCGTTGACAGTTCGTAGGGAGTGGAAACTTGTGATGCTTGCTCAGTTACTGAATGTATACGGAGAAGCCTGAGGTAATATAAATAATGTTCGGTGCCGTTAACGCTAACGACAGGCATTCTACTGATCACCTCTGCGCCTCCTCTAATTTTCTTTTGCCATTTTCCAGAGGATTGTTAGAATGTGTAGTAATGTTGGGAAACATCAGTGCTTCCGTGAGTAAGAAAGAACAACTGACAGGGCGTCAATCTGCAGGGGGTGACAGAATAAACTGTCTAGGCACATGTACAGTAGATATGAGAGCAGGATGTGTTGTCACCAAATGGAGAACTCAATGTTGACATTGAGGAAGATTGTTTCCCAGGGTTGAAGTTTGTTTCTAATGGCTTGTGGTAACTTGTTGATGGCTTTTGTGTGAGCGGGTGAATGGATTTTTTTGTATTATTTTATTTGTTGCGAATCTGGGAGTGCATGGTGGTCCAATGGGGAACAGCACGGGGTCCCCCTTCCGCTCGAAGCGGTCAGTATAAATTGACCGCTCGGAGTGATTTTCTTCCTTTTTTTGACCCGCGGCGAGATGTAGGTCGGGTCAGGTTTCTGCGTGGCGCACCGCACGCGTGGAGGTATTTGTTTTTTTATACTTTATCTTTATGTGATTTGTATGAATGCGACTGACGATGTTTCTCGTTTTCTTTCATTTTCGTCTAAAACGAGATAGTGAGCATCGGCATGTCTGGTATGCACGTGGTGTGTTATTTTGTTATTTTGAATTAAAATGTATTTTTGATGTTTTCTAAACCCTTGGCGTGTGTTTCGGACCACGTGGTTTAGGCCAGTGTGTTTAGGAGTGTTTCCTAAACTGGTGTGAATGCGTGTGTGCATTTACCTGATTGTTTTATGATGTTGTTATTGACTAGGATTGGCTTAGTCAATAGTCAGTTGGTTAGACAGTAATTAGATTAGTATATTTTAGTTGCCTCGAGTTTTAGGTTGTTTAAAATTAATGTGTGTGCTGTTTCGTGCAACGTCATGTTGAGTATCGCTTGCTTTGTGTCTGCCTTCATTGGGGCCTTAGCGGAGTGTGTTAACGTCAATGTTATCAATATGGATATTGTTTATGTAGACCAATGGCTTCGGGCTGCTCCTTGTGTAGGAAAGATTGGTTCTACAATGAATTTGTTTACACGTTATTTTTAAGTTGCTAGTTCTTCTTTAGACAGTGGTTAGTTGTTTTTGAGAATTGCTTTTAGAATTGTAATAGTAGGGATTAGTTTTACTCGAGGCTTTAGCTAGATAGTAGTAGGTAGCATTTTGAACATGTGTATATATTTATGTATATATCTGCCATTACCATGCATTTTTCTTATGTTTTCCTTTTCTTTTTCTCTTCCCCCCCCCCTTTCCAGTGAGGTTGCTTGTGCAACTTGGCTGGGTGTTTTGTTATATATGAATTGTTTTGTTTGGTGTAAAAAGTTTGTTGTGTACGTATTGTTTTGTACGTAACGTATTGTACGTAGTGTTTTGTTTGGTGTGGACTTTTGGATGTCGAGAATGGATGAAGGGAGGTTTCTGTGTGCCAGGGCCTGGACCATCCTAGACATCATAAGTCGGCGCAACACCATCAAATGGTCAAACGTAATGTTTTGTGTGGTGTAAAAAGTTTGTTGTGTACGTATTGTTTTCTACGTAATGTGTTGTACGTAAGGTATTGTACGTAGTGGTTTTACGTAGTGTTTTGTTTGGTGTGGACTTTTGGATGTCGAGAATGGATGAAGGGAGGTTTCTGTGTGTCAGGGCCTGGACCATCCTAGACATCATAAGTCGGCGCAACACCATCAAATGGTCAAACGTAATGTTTTGTTTCGTTGAGTTCTGCTTGTATTGTATGTCTTGAGTGTTTTGTTACGTTAAAGTTCTGTTTTGTTAATCTATTTTTTATTTATATAATTTTGGTTCCATGCAATAAATTTTATTAAATTGTTAAAAGTTTTTTGTTTTTAATTTAGACTAAGGTTAGGTTATTAACCAGTCTGGGTTTAGCCGGGCTTGCACTGACCGGACGGTAGTTAGTTAGATAAGCCTAAGGAAGGGTAGATAGATTTTAAGGTATCCCCCCCTAGCAGGGCTTACATTTGTAGACGTGACAGCGGCGCCCGTGTCCACCAGAAACATCATAGAATTATTTGCTACTGTCACCGTCACCAATACCGAAAACCCATGGGTAGCACTTCGGATTGAAACCGTTGTCGTTGTCTCTCTGACCACGCCCATTTCTTTGTTGCTTGGCGCGGCCTTTAGAAGTTTAAAGTATTTTCGTTGTTTGTGTTGTCTGCAGCATTCTGTTGGACTTCATTAATTCTGGCTGTAGCTTGGGTCGGCCGGGCTTGTTAACTATTTCTATTACTTGACAGATGTTGGTTAATTTCTTGATATCGACTATTTCTAGGGCAATTTCTAGCCAAATGTCTGCCCCCACAAGTGTAGCATCCCGAATCTCTGGGTCTGCGTTGATTACTTATTACCATCTCTTGTAGTCTCTTCACCTCCTGCTGTAGACTATCTATCTGGCTCTGATCCTGCACCGAACACATTTTCGTTTTTGTTGTACTATCTCTAGCACTGAGGTATTCGTCCAGAATGTTTCTGGGCGCTGGGCGGCAATGATACCCGCGAGGTGAGGATCTTGTAGCCCCTTGAGAAAATAGCGCAGTGCAACTGTTGCTTGGTCAGGTGACGGGAAAGCCATGGCCGTCAGTCGTTTCACATCGGACGTATATTCAGCGGTTGTCTCCCTTACTGACATCTTTCTGTTTTCTAACTGGGTCAGATGCGTAGCGGTGCCCACCCTGGTATCGAATCTAATGCTCAGTGATGCGACAAACGTTCCAAGTGTTGCTCGGTTAATTTGAGTGAGTTCAAGAAATGCTAAATTGGCCCCACTCCCTCCAAACAAGCTGGTAGATGCAGTAGCTGTCTATCTTCATCCCAGCTGTTAATGCGAGATATAGCTTGAGACTTACTCCAAAACACTTGAAATTATGAAATGGCGCTGACCCGTGGTAACGCCTGGTTCATGCTTAATGGTCGCTCGTCTTGTCTTGCTATTCTCAGTTCTTTAATTGTTTCTTGGAGGTATCTTTTTTGTGCCTGGAGTTCGATATCTGCCATTTTTCTTTTTCTGTACTAACTGTCTGCTGTCAGTCACTCTAGTTGCGTGTTTCTTTCGCTGCCACCAAATGTAACGTGTTCACTGCTAAAATAAACCGGGAGTGATCTCCCCTAAACTTTCTCGAATATTCTAATATAACACTACGTGGGATGTCAACTCGGAATATAGACATGATTTTTGTTTACTTAAACTTTTAAAAATAGAATAAAATCTAGTAGAAAAAAAAATGCGCACCAAGCTAGCACCGAAACCAAATGTGCGTAATAGTGCGCAATATTATTAGTACTTTTAAAATTTACATTAGTTTTTTGAGAAATCGGAAGTAGCGTAAATTACTACTTCCGGTCAACGGAAATTACTCAAAATTTAACAGAAGGTAGAGAATTAGATCTTTTACTTACATGTGAAATTTCATTTATCTATCTTAAATAGTACTCAAGTTATAGGCTTTTGAAAAATTCAAAGTAGAAAAAGTACCACTTCCGGTTGTCGGAAATCGCTCAAAAGTTGATACGGATCTACGATTTTGATATAATACTTATATATGAAATTTCATCAACCTAGCTGTAACGGTACTCAAGTTATTGTGTTTACACACGGACACACACACAGACACACACACACACACAGACATACGGACAAGATTGCAAAATTATGTTTTTCCGTATCAGTGAGGTGTAAAACGTCGAGATTTGTAAAAATCTCGATTTTTTTTTTTTGCACGATTACAATACTTTCTCTATAGGCCTACTACGTATATACGAGAAAGTAAAAATGTACTGTTCTTTTTCTTTTCTGTTTCTCGCTCTCACTCTCGGTCACAGACGATAATAAACCGGGAGTGATCTCCCCTAAACTTTCTCGAATATTCTTATATGAAACAACAGGGAATGGCAACTCGGGACATGATTTTTAATCCATTTTAAATACTTAAACTTTTTAAAATAGAATAAAATCTCGTAGACAAAAGAAATCGGAAATAGCGAAAATTATTACTTCAGGTCAACGGAATTTGATAGAAGGCAGAGAATTAGATATTTTACTTACATGTGAAATATCATTTATCCATCTGAAATACTATTCAAGTTATAGGCATTTGAAAAATTCAAAGTAGAAAACGTTCCACTTCCGGTTATCGGAAATCGCTCAAGTTGATACAGATCTACGATTTTCGGTGGCCGGAAAGAACCGCAACGGAAAAAAGCGCAACGGAAAAAAGCGCAAAACAAAAAGCGCAACGGAAATAAGCGCACACGGAAAAAAGCGCAAAGAGAAAAAAGCGCACACAGAAAAAAGCGCAAAGAGAAAAAAGCGCAAACGGAAAAAAGCGCAAAGAGAAAAAAGCGCACACAGAAAAAAGCGCAAACAGAAAAAAGCGCAAACGGAAAAAAGCGCAAAGAGAAAAAAGCGCACACGGAAAAATGCGCAAAGAGAAAAAAGCGCAAACAGAAAAAAGCGCAAAGAGAAAAAAGCGCACACAGAAAAAAGCGCAAACAGAAAAAAGCGCAAACGGAAAAAAGCGCAAAGAGAAAAAAGCGCAAACGGAAAAAAGCGCAAACAGAAAAAAGCGCACACGGAAAAAAGCGCAAACGGAAAAAAGCGCAAACGGAAAAAAGCGCAAACAGAAAAAAGCGCAAACGGAAAAAAGCGCAAACAGAAAAAAGCGCACACAGAAAAAAGCGCAAACAGAAAAAAGCGCAAACGGAAAAAAGCGCAAACGGAAAAAAGCGCACACAGAAAAAAGCGCAAACGGAAAAAAGCGCAAACAGAAACAGAAAAATGCGCAACCAGAAAAAACACAACGAAAAATGTGCAAAAGAGAAATTTAGCACAAAGACCATATGGACTAGATGACACATTTATACATGACTGTTAGGGCTGCTGTGAGAGTGTCGTGTTTGATCACGTGATCTACTAACATTTAAAGCGTACCACTACCATCTGCATTCCCATCACCACGATACAGGCGATAATCACTTTACACAATGCCTATTATTTTCTTGGTCAATAATTATTCAACTACTATTCTCGTATAAACATAAAACTATCGACATTACACGAAGTATCTTTCACATTCTCCCTAGTCCGAACTACCTAGCTTGCATACTATAACAACCCGTTCCTATGGCAAAACTTCACTCTCTTTCATCCGCGTCATCAAACATGCATTCGTCATATCTCTCGTAACAACATTCATTCGCACCAAAATAACAATTTTGTATTTAATATTTTTTCACATCATGACGCACCTACCTACCTACCTACTACCCACCTACCTACCTACCTACCTAACTACCCACCTACCCACTTACCCACTTACCCGCCTACATACTTACCAAACTACCCACCAAAAAAGTTTCGGCGAAGTTCGTAAGTTTCGTAAACTGTACTAGACATCATTTTTTTAATGAAAATTCATTGACATCATTGACATATGTTACATATATGTTACATTTTGCGACAACCTTAATTAGTGCGTTGGGCTTGTATGAAAACTCACTTCGAACTAACTCAATTACATGCTATTTATTTTAACATTTATAAACTTCATCTCTCTTTGTTTCTTTATAAAAAGGTTACGGAAGGTTTTTAAGGTATTTTACTGAAATGTTTACCGGACGAATGCAAAATGATATAAACAACCATAGCTCTTCTGTTATATAGGCTACATGCAGTGTTTCTTCCAGACTTCCCCCCCCCCCCCTCAAACTGTCGATTGTACCTCCCCCCCCTCAAACTTTCGATTTGCATATATATATATATATATATATATATATATATATATATATATATATATATATATATATATATATATATATATATATATATATATATATATATATATATATATATATATATATATATATATATATATATATATATATATATATACCGAGGGGTCTATTGGGGGGGGGGGGGGTTATGACCCCCCATAAACCCCCCCCGCCTACGCCACTGCATATAAGTATTCGCATAGATTTAGAGTAGCGTCCCTTTTGTTTACATGTTTTCATTACCCTTCAAACAAAAGTCTATTTTAGTTATATTGAGATTAAAGAATGTAAATAAATAGTATACACAATTCTGTAGAATAGGAACGATTGGGAGGGAAGTGACATTTAGCGCAGTAAATTTAGAGGTTAGGTAGGGTATAATAAATGGTGGGGTTAGGAAAGTTAAGGGGTCAATTCTCTAATAGGCAATCTATGTCTCTTTCGTACTTTCGTGTTGGTTTATTGTCGAACCTGTCCTCACCTTACATCACAACAGTTGGGTGACGCTTACCGCGTAATGATAAAATAAATAGCATTTAATTGAGTTAGTTCGAAGTGAGTTTTCATACAAGCCCAACGCACTAATTAAGGTTGTCGCAAAATGTAACATATATGTAACATATGTCAATGATGTCAATGAATTTTCATTTAAAAAAATGATGTCTAGTACAGTTTACGAAACTTACGAACTTCGCCGATACTTTTTTGGTGGGCAGTTTGGTAAGTATGTAGGCGGGTAGGTGGGTAGGTGGGTAAGTGGGTAAGTGGGTAGGTGGGTAGTTAGGTAGGTAGGTAGGTGGGTGGGTAGTTGGGTAGTAGGTAGGTAGGTAGGTGCGTCATGATGTGAAAAAATATTAAATACAAAATTGTTATTTTGGTGCGAATGAATGTTGTTACGAGAGATATGACGAATGCATGTTTGATGACGCGGATGAAAGAGAGTGAAGTTTTGCCATAGGAACGGGTTGTTATAGTATGCAAGCTAGGTAGTTCGGACTAGGGAG